GGGGGGGGAGGGATAAATGGGCCTGAAGAACAGACAATAGCCTGGGACAAAGTTTCTCTGGACTCTGACTATGGTGTTAACTCTAGTCCTCTTTCCTTTGAATTAATCTTTCCTGTTTAATGAGCTTATAGTGATGGGATTCATGGCAATTACTTCCTACTGGAGGAACTTTTAGGTAAAGGTACTTCAGAGAAAGGCCCTTCCTGTGTTTCAGGAGAGGTAGGGAGGGGAGAGAAGGTCAGGAAGACCTTTGTGCTTGGGCTGCTGCTGAAGTTCAAGGTACTCAGCCTGTCAAAGCACCATGCTTGGGGATTGTTTTTTGTCTGAGCTCCAACACAATCTTAATGCTACTTAGAATTGCTGATGTAACTCAGTGAAGTTATTCTTTGGGGGCACTTGTATTTTGACATTGTTGCTATTGGTATGAAGCAAGGAATTGAGATGATTTTTCTTATAGGGTTTGAGAAGAAGGTGAATGATCAGAAGACATTTTCTTTCCTTGGAAAATTGTCAAGTTCATATTCCTATTTGATTTTCTTTTCCAGCTTGTTCGTTTTGGTTTAGGTAACCAATTGGTGGTTGCTTTCAAAGAAGATAACACTGTTGCTTTTAAGCACTTGTTTTTGAAAGGATATTCTGGAATAGATGAAGATGACTACAGTTGCAGTGTATATACTCAAAAGGACGCCTATGAGAGCATCTTTTTTGTTATTCATCAGGCAAGTACTTGTTGTGAATGATCTGTTCTTTAAGAATATGTTGACCTATACTTTAAGAATATACTTTCTTGAGCCGGGCATGGTGGTGCATATCTGGCAATCCCAGTAGCTTGGGAGGCTAAGGCAGGAGGATCACAAGTTCAAGGCTAGCCTCAGCAATTTTGTGAGGTCCTAAGCTGCTTAGTGAGACCCTGTCCCAAAGTGAAAAATAGAAAGGGCTGGGGATGTGGTTTAGGGGTTAAACACTCCTGGGTTCAATATCTGGAACCAAAAGAAAAAAAAAGATCAAGTATATATAAATATACATATATATTTGATCTTGTTGTCTTAGCAAGCAAACAAAAATAATACAAACATTCAAATATCCTCATATAAATTTTGAATAATTTGCTGGAAAAAATGTTTATAACTATTTTTGGAACCACATAGTAAAGTTTGCCTATTTGACCTCTTCTCTAAGATTTGTTTTTTTAATTTATTTTTTTCATACTCACTACTTTGGGAAGATTACTTTAGATCAAATAACCAAGACATTTATCACCTCAGAAGCCTTGATGAAGACTTGAAACTAAGAAGAGTCTTTGTTGGTCTCAATTTTGATGTCTTAGCACTAGTAATTCTATCCAAATCTTAAGAACATGGAATATAACAGTTGTATCTAGACGGGTATGAGAGAGCAGACTGGTGGACCTGAGGAGAGAATGTAGGGGAGAGAAATTGGTCTTTTCTTTTTCATTCATTCATTCAATAAACATTTGAGTCCCTAGTGTTAGCCAGTACTATTCCAGACATTGGAGATATATCAGTGAATCAAACAAAATCCCTGCCCTTTGTAAAGGGAAGAGCCAGACAAATGAAACAAAATGAAATGTATAGTATCAAATGCCAGCTCCCTAAGATCACTATCCCAAAACATGCTGATAAGCAAAGCTGAGATCCTTGCTACAGCAGTAAGGAAGATGCCACTTTGTACAGTCCAAACCATGCCTCGGGTACAATCAGAGTCCTTTAATGTGGGCATCCTCGATTAGAATTGGGTAAGGATCATGCTATAACTGTTTACGGTTGGTGGATCTAGCAAGACAAGGGTCAGGGAAATAGTCTCAAAAAGTCTTGGAATTATTATCAGACTAAATCTTCAAATTGTTTAGCCACCTATATGAGTCTTTTGGATATTCCTGAACAATATAATTATTTGCAACAACTTTTGTGTTCCTAGGTAAAAGTTTCCTAGAATAGTAAAATGATATTTGTGAAGATGGGAGCTAGTGAAGTCCTGTTAGTGCAGAGAGCAAAATTGTGTTAGTGTAAGCTGGTATTAGTTGTGTTAATGTAAGCTGTAGCTTCTCTGAGAGTGACCACTCCTATGGAATAGGACAGGAGGAATGTGTTTGGCATGGGATGGATGCTTGCAGTGTGTGTGTGTGTGTGTGGGGGGGTGCTGGGGATTGAACCCAGGGCCTTGTGCATGTGAGGCAAGCACTCTACCACTGAGCTATATCTCCAGCCCAATGCTTGCATTTTTTAAAATTTAATTTTAATTTTTATATATATATATATAACATTTTTGGGGGTACAATGTAAGGTTTTGATCTATGCTTGCAATTTTCATTGGCTTGGTAAGGGAATGCCTGACTGAGGTGGTGATATTTGAGTCAGGACCTGACGGCATGAGCTAGGTAGTTACCTGAGGTTCCAGGTGGAGGGAACAGCAAAAACCAGAGGCAGAAGTGTGTTTGGCAAGCTCCAGGAGCTCCCTGGTTGTGACCTTGTGGCATGGAGCACGGGGACCATTGTAGGCAGTAAGTTCTGAGAGATCAGCAGGACCCTGTCTTGGGCTCTGAGGGAGATGGGAGCCAGCTGTGAGCGGGTGTGCTTTAGTTTAGAGTTCTGTGGGGTAGTTCGTTCCTTTGCAGCCTGAGAAAATGACTTTGTGTTATTTAAAATTGGAAAGTGCTACTGAGGGGGCAGGATATAAACAATAAAAAGTGGCTAAAACTGCATTCCATAGGCTGTGACTTCTGACCAAACTTTAAAAAGCTCATATGTATTTTTGAACTATTATTTAACTATTTTTAAAAATAGTATCATCATCTAAAGAACATTTCCCTGGCGACCCTTGACTATGGAGAAAATGAAGACAACATAATTGGCTTAAAAATCTGTAAGCAGCATTACAAGAAAGGGACCATGCCTTCTTCTAATGAGACCCTGAACATTGACAGCGACATTGAGACAGGTAACACAGCGATGATTTCATTATGTGCCTTGGTTGTCTTCTGTGGTGAGAGCAAAGTCCTCATTTGAGAGTGAACCTATTCTGGCATGAGCCTGCAGAAGCTTTGGCTCAGGAAACTGTGGCTCTGGTAATGGGATAGGGATAGCATCTGTGGATCTCTTTGGTGTCTCTCAAAATTGTTAGTTTGGGAATAAATGCATAAGTATTCATTTTGTGTAGGTTTTTTTTTTCCCCATTAGGGAGTGATTAGATTTTGAAAAAAAAAGTCTGTATGTATCAAATGAAATAATGTAAGCAAAAATGCCTTGCATACTTGTTTTTACTACCTACAAAGTATGTAAGTGCTCTTTAAAGGTGAATTGTGATTACAAACTTTCTCTTTTAGGAGATTGCTTGACAAAACGTTAACAGCTAAGTAGAACTGTTGTGCACCACTCTGTTAGGAACGTAAAAGAATACCATATGTAATGTGTGAATGCAAAATGTTTGACCCAGAACTTTGTCATTCATTCAATAAACTTCTGGATGGCCACTGTGCCCACGGTGTTCACAGTGGCTTGTACTGGGGTTGCAAAGATTATTCCATTATGGCTCCTCAAGTTACTGTCAAGGGGGTAAAATTGCGACATATGCAGTCGAGGGGAGAGATAAAGAATGTCCGTGCACTTTGCCCCTTTCAGTGCTTTATTCACTCAAATTACTCAGTACAATTTCACTCTATAGGTTCTTAATCAAGAAAATGACAATCCTTAATGCCAAGCACTACAATAGACAAAATCAATTCACAGCAAACAATTCTAGATTAATTCTAAGCACTGCAAAACACACTTAATCATGACAGGCTAATGACAGACATTCCCTCTGCATGCTAAGTTCAGAAGTCTTAAGCCTTAGGCTTTATGTCCAGCAGATGCACACTCACTCAGACCACGGTGATCAGGTCTGGAACCAAGGCAGGCTTTTCCTGGCATGGAGTGGAGACTGGTTGAGGAGAGGGTGGAGAAGGAGAAGTGGCGGCTCTCACCAAGGTCCAGACCAGGTGGGTAGAGTTTGAGAGCTGTGAGGATCATGCAGAGGCTCAGGAAACGGTGACAAGTGATGAGATGTCAGGTCTTCATCAGGCTCTCTAGCTTGAGTGCATACTTGCTTCAGCTGGCTGAATCCCTGTTCATCAGCTCTATTATTTATACTAAATTTGGGGGCTTTTGACCCCCCTTTCAATCCTTATCAGCTACCACCAGATTTCTCCATGACATCATTTACCCTGGGGTCAGATACATCTGGTCTGGTAGTCTTCACCCTGATCTTCTCACTTTTCCCTCTTATCAGGTGAGGATAGCCTGCCAAAGGCTTCACTCTGTTTATCAGATTGAGGGGAAGTAACTTGTTTATGGCATACTGGAGGGCTTTGTTGGAAGTGCCTGGTGAGACTGCAGGTTTCAAACTGGAGTTTTTAAAATAGAGTTGCTTAGGCTCAAGCCTAAGGCCATCCTCACACTAACGATATGGAGTAGTGGTCTTAATATCAGTTTAAATTTGGAAGTTTTTTTTTTTTTAAATGGGGTGTTCACACAGTTAATCTGACCGTATGTCCTACAACCTGATTTTAAGGTGCCTTGGTAACACAAGAGGAGAACACTCCTGCAAGACACTGGTTTTAACTCAGTCTGCCTCTTTAGAATCTATATGAGTAAATGTCTTCCAGAATTTTGACTTGGGAAGAAGAAGCCTAAGCCATATCATCTGGGGTCCAGGTGCTGCATGGCTCCAAGGTTGCTCTCAGAGACCTTTTAGAGGATGTTGTTTGGGTCTGTAGCCAATGTTGTCTTATGGCTCTGGAAGCACTGCCTCACCTGAGACCCATCTGGTAGCCCATCTACAAAGGGCTAATCTTGATTCCTCTGAATGTTTTAGTTGGGTGCCCAGCTGTGCCCTCCCTGTAGGTGATTCCTGTATCTGAGGTAGGAGGACTCACAGGTAGACTAATGGCTTGTCCTATCACCCTGATTGAATGACAAAACCCCTCAAAATTCTGCTTCAAGTAAGCTACAAGTCATTCACCCTTTGGAAAATGTGTGAATAAAAGTGGCTGCACCATACAGCTGTTGTTCAGTGATTCAGATGCTGTTTTTCTCAATTGACTTTTCTTGGAAAATTGGTTAAAGAAATGTGGCCAAAGTCAATATCACTGGCTAGGTAGGATGGGCAGGGCTGCAAAGCAGGATTTATTTATATGATTAGACAATAGTGCCTTTGTTCGTTTTCTTTCTGCAAGAATATGGATTTTTTTTTTTTACTAAAGGAGAGAGGTTGGTTTTTAATTTGACTATGTTTAGAGAGATTGTTTAAGTAGGTTAATTGTATTCTTTGACTTAACAATTAAAACTTGTCAAAGAGAATCTTGCAACCTATCAAAAAGGTATAAAGACTTTAAAAAATACTTGCTATTTGATTTTAAACCCTTTTTGGACATAGTGGAGGAAGCCTGCAGATGATACAAATAGGAATTGCATTTGACTTTGGCCGTGTGATGTGAGAGTTTAAGTAGGTGAATTGATGGAAGCTGTTCTAGGTTAGCTGCTCATACATTCTGCATTTCCTTTACTATTGAGAATCATCCTTCTTTGTGCTGAATGTAGACATTGGCCTGTACACCCAGCTTTCCTGGTGGTTTTCCTATTTAGTTGTAGTTGGCTGTGTAGATCAAGCCAAGTTTTCCCTTAAATAATATTGATGGCTATATCCCTCCCATTTCTGCCTCTAGAATGGTAGCTTTCCAGTTCAGCTTTATTGAAAGAATTATTAGGAATCCTATAAAAAAGAGATTCCCCCTCCCCCCAATATTTAAGTGGCTATTATTTTAGTACAGGTCAAGTATTCCTTATCCATAATGCTTGAGAATAGAAGTGTTCCAGATTCCAGATTCTTTTGGATTTTTCATCTACATAATGAAAAAGATACTTGTGGGTCAAAGTCTAAACATGGCATGCTATACATCTTAGAGCCAGAAGGTAATTTTATACAGCATTATTAGTATGCCTTCATTTTGACTGTTACCCATCAAGTGAGGTCAACTGTGGAAATTTTTACTTGTATCAGGTCCATGCTCAAAATGTTTCAGATTTTGGAGCATTTCAGATTTTGGATTTTTGGATCAGGGATGCTCACCCTATATGATATTTTATTTTCAGTAGTGCACTACAGTTGCACTAAAAAACTTCACTAAAAACTTGCACTTTTTTTTTTTAGTGCAGTTTTAGTTTCTGTAGTGCATCTGTAGTGCAATTGCTCATGTTCTTCTCTCCACATGAGTCATGATGATTGCTTCATTATTTTCCTGTCTGCTTTAAGAATGTGTCTCACCTGTGCTCCTTCTAAGAGGGCTGTTATTTCATTGGCCAAAGTATTCTGCTCTGTAAATAAGATTCATTTGAGCAGTGAGGCTGTTGTGCTATGTTCTGCTGGAGGTTTGATATTTTACTTGGGACATTTGCCATTTTTTTTTTTTTTAAATCTGTCTTGTTGCCATCAGGTGCTGGTGACCTCAGTGGCAATGACTGTAGTGTAAGGTCACCAGATTTCAGAGTTCTGAAAATGAGTTGGGATAATGTGTAGCTCATAACTACAAAGCAATGCTGGATTTGAACAGTTAAGCAGACTTTTAGAAGGCAAATTTTACAAATAGTATAAAATTAACTGACAAAATTCTGTCCTATTTCCATGAATCTAAGATGCTATCACTTTAAAAACATCCAGCTGATTTAGAGATGTTTAAAGCAAAATAGTATACATCTTACAGTGAATGAAATACAGAAGAAAAAGACCCAGGACCATGTCTTGCACATCTGTCTTGAACACATTATTTCTTTCAGAATGTAATCATTCATTCAGATTGATTTAATTGATATTTTAAAATTCATCTTAGAGTTAGAAGCACCTTAATTATCAACAGCGTGGCCTTCCTTTCACAGTGGAGAAAACTGCTACTCCTTTAAGCTAGGCAACTAAGCCAAAGTCATGCAATCATAGTGGCAATAGGTCTTTACTACTCA